ATAATTTGAATGTTGATTGTGTAGCGATGAAGCCTTCTGTAACTCAGTGTACCCAGAAAGGATGGAGATAATTTTCTGTAAGCTACTCTCTGTATGTTTGTATGTATATTTATATTAAATGTCACATCTCATTTGATCCCAAATATAATGGTCTGTCTTCAAAAATGCTCCCAGAAAAGGTTTTATGACAGACTGATATTTTACTACAAGATTACAATTTTTTTCTTCCATTTGTATTTCACTAGAGACAACTAGTACAGGCTAAGGAAAGCCAGGAGAGGATCTCACATAGATGACTTCCCATATCACCGTAATAGATGATAATGGACAAAAAGCTGAATTACTACTCTGTGAGAATGCTTCACCTTGAACATGAATATTTCATTTTGCAAATTCTCTGTTCTCAGTGCAAATTAGATGTTGTTCCATCATCTGCAAAGCAAGGGATGAAGTGTGTCTCTGTGTCTGTGCAAATGTGACTATCGTGCATTTAAGTATTAATTACAAGTTCACCCTGTGCAAGGCCAGAGGGATGGTGAAGTATAAACAGGATTTTAACTTCAGCTGCAGTACTGCACTATGTGGGTTCTGAAGTCTTAAAGTTCTCAAAGGGGCTTTGCAGTGCTAGTGGCTACTTTCATGCAGACATCTCTCCCCACTCACCTCTGGAGGTCCTCCTTGCATCCTTAGACACACTTAATGAACCACCATTCCCAAAAATTTGGAGCACAAAGTGATAGCAGAACCTGAGGTTCTCTCTATTCAAATATGCCATATATAATAAAGAGGCCATGTAAAGACAGAGATGGCCTTCCAAGACCCTATTCCATGAAAGCAACCCACCAGAAAAGAGCTAACATAAAAGCTGTTTTCCAGGCCTGTTTATAGCTCAGTCAGCATTTGGGGACAGAGGTGAGAAAGGCAAGAGAAATCAGAGAACTCTGTTCTCAGCATGATGGAGCTCAGGGAAGATACTCATGACTTGAGACAATCGTCAAGCAGCTCAGGCTTACTGATGAGATCAGGTATCTTACATGGAAATACAAGATCATCTTAAAACTCTCTCATTACTCAGTAGCCCAAAAATGTAACTAACTGCCAAGTAGCATATTAAAAAGGAATTAAAGTTTTTCTTCTGTAATTTAGCAATATGAGTGCTTGATCTCCTTTTCAAGGATAGGATTCAGATTGCTGAGTCCATTAGTGCTTTGAAGAATTTACTGTCAGTTTTCATGCCTTTTAATACTCCATTTTCTTCCAAACAATTTCAGAAGCCTGTATAAATCTCCTAGTCTTGTAAACAGTATGAAGCATCTTCCTCTTTTGGCAGTGAGTGATTGAATGGTTTGTATGGAGTAATTAATTATTCTAACATTCAAGTTGGTACTTAAATACAGAGACAGAATCTGGAAAAGCATTTGAAAAAGAAAGTAGATTTAGGAAAAAGGGACAATGAAAGAACAAAAAGAAAGGAGAAAAAAATATCATACAATGACCACTACCTGAATTTCTGCATTATTCTATTTAGTTCATTGATGTAACATAACTTCTTTGTTCTGCTGTTGAGTCTTAATCATCTTTCACCAAACAAACACATACACACTCATTAAAGTCACTGTTCAAGTAAAACAGCTGAGCCTGACAGGGCTGGGAATAAGGTTTTCCCACAACGTAGCTGATAATTTTTTTAAAAAATCAAACTCTTTCCCTGCAACCCATCATTGTGTCAGTATTACACAGGTTAAAATAACTGTATACTGAAACAAAACTGAAAAGTGTCAGGAAGTTGAGACAGACAGACTTTAATGTGCATAAACCAAAGAGATACTTTCTGCTAGAATAATTTGCTGGAAGATTTCCTTCTACAGGCTAAAACTTTTTTTGAATTTACAAGGTTGTTTCTCTAACAAACAACACCTAGAACAGATGAAAATTAGTACAATAAAGAAATATCACTAAGAACTTGCAATTATTTTAAGAAATTCCTGAAAGAGTTTTCACAAACAAATGAGAACACCATGTGTCTGTGTATTAGTTTATTTAATTCTTTATCGCCACTAAGAGCAAGTAAATTATGTTGATACAATTGGTAAACATATACATTCGCTAGAGCCCCCCACAATCCCACAGAGCTAAAGGAAACATTAAGGGATGTTACAGGATTAATGCTTTCATTCTACAATATGGATATATGGCTTTCATACAAGTTTTAAAAAATTGGAAAGGTAACACACTGCTAGCTTACAAAATCAATATACAAACTGGAAAAAAAAAAAAAAAAAGGAAAAAATAGCAAAAAGAAAGTAACCCTTGAGAAGATATCATATAGCACTGGTTTAATAGATATATACAGAATTAGAAATCCATTGAACATGATGTTCAGGCTTTAATTTGTTAATTTTGACTTTCATTCCTTCTTTCAGTTTAACACTCAAACTACAAGTATTAAGATAGTTTCTGTCTTACTTTGATTTTTCCATTTTTTTTTTACCCTCACTTTTTATTGGCAGAGAAAAAGGGCTTTTTCTGCCTGGGTTTCTATCACATCTTACTGAAGCAGTTCATCCACTTTGGAGCTTTGAACAAAACTCTTCCATGTACTTGGTGTGACAGAAGAGAACATCACTGTAATAGTAAGTCCTTTGGGCCATTTCATTGGCATGTGTTTTGCATTTCCCTTGGACACAGCTATCCTTAAACTGATGTGCTGGTAAGCGGGAAGAAATCCAGCTCTTCCTCCTACTTTTGTATCCTCATTTAAATAATGACACAGGACAAAAAGCTCTTCCATTTCAACCATAGCATGAAAACATGGCAGCACTAGTTGTGATTCACATTTAGAGTTATGCATGCACTTTTCTACAGAGTTTTACTTCCCCAAATATGGATACATATAAGAAATGCAGTATGTATGCATGTGCATTTAGAGAGCTGCTGTGTCTGATGCTGAAATCTCCATTAGGTGGTTTCTAGCTCCAAGTTGCAGCAGTACTAGCCTGCCTCTGCTTCAGGTCCCCTCAGAGACCACAACACACTCTGGGTTTTCACAGCCATTTCCTTCAGCTGTAAAAGTCTAGATGAACTACATAATTATAATAGGGGAAGTGCAATGAATGACCTAATGAGAAAAGTTAAATAAGGTCTTATAGCCAGGTAGATTAGGGTGAGGGAATTCAAACAGTAGAATTAATTGATTTAAATTGGCTGTGAGTAAGACAGCCCTGCAGAGGCTATCCCCTTTCCTAGCTTTTCATCACTGAATTCAGGGTTAAATGCTCTGTACAGTCTTTAACTTTCACTGACCTTCTGAAATGGGAATACTTGTAAGCCTCTGCTTTATCTCATCGGTATATCCATCCATTGGACACATGCTTTCAGTTTTGTTGTAGGTTTTGTTTGTTACTGTGTTTTTTGTAAGAAAGGAATAAAATCTGCAGATGCAGGTTTTTTTCATACACAACTCACTCAAAGCCGAGTGATTCAAAGGCTAGGAGACACCTGCTGAAATTTTTAGACATCTGGGACTCCAAGACATTCCACATTTAAATGGCAAATGGTAGGAAGGGCTAAAGGATGGTACAGCCCCACCAATGAGATAACAATAGTTGAATAGAGATGAATTCTCATGTTTTCCTTGAAATACCTTACTTCTGCTCAAGTCAGAGCAGTGAGGCCACAGAACAGATGGCCATTTTTGAACAGTAGAAGAAAGGGACCATTAGGAAAATGATTAGACTTCAGTATTGTTTAGTTTTGGTTCAAAAGCAAAGTTTGATGCTGCTATTAATGAGACTAACTTCACCTTCTCCAAATACAAACACACATGGGTGGATGAAGCTCTCCCCATGTTCTCCTTTGCTCAGGCAAGTCTTTCAGTACCTCTGAAACTCTATGCACCAAGTCTCTTCCCTTTAAGTTAATGATAAAAGAGGACAAAGGTAAAGGATGCAGCTTTTTGCCACTATCTTGAGGGTAGACACTCCTGAATCAGTGCCTCTAATTTTTGAGGTGATCATTCAGTCTTTTCTATCCCCTAGGAAATCTTGCCCAGGTTGGACTATGACAAAGGTTTTATCAGCAATCCACCCTCCTAATGAATCCAGGGAATCTCTTTGCTCATTCTCATACGTCCTCGTTCACTGTCATCATCTGATTAACAAGTTGCTATTGTGTCTTTTAATCTTAGGACATGTTTGGAGGTACCTGATGGTATGGGCTTCCTGGGACAGTTGTGCAACAATCCAGGAAGAAATGGAGAATATAACCTCTTAAATGAGGAAAGATCAGCAACATCCACAGAAGCTTAACTGAGAGGTAGAATGCCTTAGTAGAATTGACAGAAGACCTATAAATGCTATCAAAATTATGGATGAGTGGGGGAAGGTTGGCAACAGGTATAATCTATCTCTGCAAAGGAGAGAACTTAATCACAAGTCCACAGGAATGCTGTCCCGGAGAATTAAAATAGATTGAATACAAGATACCTACTATGCACATTTCCCCTTCTTAGAAGAATCCGGGAGATAAGAAAGACTATCTGTGTCATGTCAAAATGGTGAACCTAATCAATATTTTGCTTTAGAAAATAGGTGGATTTACATTGTTAATATTATTGCTGTTCCTAGAACGAGAGAAAATCAGGTTGGCTTTTGTCCCACCCTCAACACTGACAATAGGTTAAGAAAGCTCTGAAGTTTTCATCGTATATTAAGGAATTTCATTAAACAAGAGGGAAAGCTACACAATGTTTGTCTTCAGAAGCTCCCTGCTAGCAGCATCATTAGATTCAGGGGATTTATAGGCCTGTTTTCATAAACAGTCTTCATCGCTATTTGCTTCCCCTTAGTTCATCCTAATGCTCCATTGTTTTACTTGAACTGTCCACTGCCACATGCCAAGTGGTGAAGGATATACAGCAGAGTTAAAGAATCACACCTTGCACTCCTAAACCAGAAAAAATAGACATACTATTGTCTCCTTTGACTTTGCCTCCAGAGGAACTCTTTTTTTGAGGTTGGAGTGGGACTTTACTTCTCTGTAACACTATACATTGGATTAGTTTTCATTAAGGCACAAATCAAGGAAAGCATAAAAAAAAATGTGCCAACCAGTAATTCTGCCTTCCGTACTTAAGGAGCATGCAAAAGAAGTTTGTACAAAATGCTCCTGACTTTATATCTGTCTCTTCTTGACAGTCTCCAATATTGTCTGTTGATACATTTTATAATTATTATTCTTTCATTTCTTCTAATTTTTTTCTCCTTTGAAAAAAAGTTCAGCCCAGAATGTCATTATGGAATTAGAAGATGAGAATCAGTAAATTACAATTTAGTATCTACCTGCATGTACAAATGTTTTCCCTCCCTGGAGCCTTGCCGTGCAGTTTTGCTGCACTTAATAGACTGTAAAATAAGCCAGGCTGACAAGCAACGATTCTCTTTCACTATGGGCACTTCTGTCAGAAGACATGTCAAAGTCAGAAAATGTCCCAATCCTCAAATACTGTTTTGAGTCAAGATACAGACAGGCCTAACTACATAGAAGCATTGCCTCAGCCTATGGAGAGAAAGAGAAGGGAGATAAATCCAAATGTATCCTAAGTTTAAACTTGGTAGAATCCAGAGTCTGGATGGAGATTCATCCTTAGCTGATGTTCAGCAATTCAACTCTCTCTTTTCCAAGAGATTTGAGTGCTCAGAAAAAGGTTGTCATTTGGGGGATTTCTGTCACCTCCCCATACTATATTATAGTTGGAGCATATGAAGATGTAAACCACTCCTTGAGAGGGACATTCAGGAAACAAGCTTCTGTCAGTTAAACTGGTAAGCAATAAGTCTATGCTAAGTCATTTTCCATTGTAAAAGGATAGCACCACAAGGGTAAACACATATTTCATCTGAAGTAGCCACTCCCACAGCATTATCAGACAAGCTTGCCCTCACAGATGATGGAAGGTAGAAGATTAGAAAGCAAATAAGGAGAAATTTCAGAGTGACTGAAGTAGAAACTGAGCAATATGGGTGGGAAGAGGTTTTGTTCAGATACTTGCCTTTTGCTTTGTAGATAATGTCACTCGTGAATGGCCTCAAGTAGGTGCCAGGTACCTACTTTCAGAGCTGAACTGACTGACCTATTCAGTCTTCCTCTGTGTTCTGCCATGAATTACTTTTGCCATCTCCTGCATAGCTAGAGTTTCCACTGAATCTCTTCTGCTGGTTTATTGGAAATTTTCTTAAAATTAAGTTTATAAACTTTGACTCCAATTGCTGTCAACAATAAGATGCCAATAGAGATCCAAACATATATGGCTGAGTAGTAAATGTTCTCCTATTTCACACCCTTTGCTAACAGGAGTGCTGCATTGTCTTCTGGTCCTAACATGGTATTTTTTGTTTTGTTTCTTTGTTTTCTGTAAACTCTCTCTATGGAGGCCTTATACCACCATAGGAACTTGACTGACCTCCTTCAAAAACTATTAGGAATGTTTCTTTAGCAAACCAGATGGGCAGTTATTCAAAAGGGCCATAAAGGCATCAGAGGGAACACAGGGGAGTTTTTCTTCTTACTCATGAAGTTGGAAATCAGAAGTCACACCTAAGGTTTTGACTAAAGGATAGTCAAAGTGTTGGTCTCAGCATCATTCCAAATTCCTGCCAGCTCCTTATGAAACATGGACTAGATTAACCAGTGTAAGACAATGGTGCAACAGTTGTTTGCACTCAAAGCTGTATCACTTTAAGTGAACTGATGCAGCATTTAGACAGACAAACCTTTGGTGAGTGAAAAAGTTTCTTTCTCCCTTTGCTTTCAATCAGACCTACCATCCCATTAGTTTAAATCTGAGACACAAGCACAGGTAGACCTGATTAGACCATGAACAAACCAAATAGCACCCAGAACCACCTAAATATGAGCCTTTGTGATTTTAGATTTGGTCATTGCACATCCACCACGTGTGGAGGACATTTTTTAACTGCACCTGGGGCTCAGGTATGTCTAACAGCATAGTCAAATTAACAAGGGTATCAACATAGACTGCAAGACACACCCAAGGAGTCTGGGAAATAATTGTGAGGCTAGTCTACCTTAAGCTATGTGCAGCCCTGGCTAGCTGGCTTCAGAAGTGTTTGGGAACATCTACAGAAGGACTTGCCTCACTGTAAGTCCAGATCGGTCGTACCCTCTGTGTGAGAAAAAAGAGGGTAAGCTCTTCAATTCTTATAAAGTTCTTGCATAGAAAAAGGTACTGATGTTAGTCTGGACAAAAACTCTCTGCTTGTCTACAAGCTAATCCCAAGAGAGCAATGTGATTTACTCAGATGAACATACCCTGCTGCAGCTTTGCTGAAGTCAGTGGGTACCATGCAGGAGTACAGGGGAGACTATTCCTCTTGACCAGCAGGCAAGCCTGCAGCCTACTCAAAGAGCAAAGTTTATTTCTTGCTGTTGAATTTAAAGATATAGAATTTAGAAGCAGTGATTTTGAACTTAATTTGGGCACTGAAATCCCTTCCATTTCCTCAAAACATTTTGGTCTGATGGTTATTAGTTGTTAAACAATAACCTTGGGACAGACCAGCTCTTTTTCAGGATTGTTTTTCTGTTTTGTGACTTTTCTCAGGACTCAGAATCATTTAAATTAGGTAAAATTGAGCAAACTGAAAACCAGCTGGTTATAATTTTTCTTCTCCCCCCCCCCCAGCAGACTATTTAATAAAAAATCAAAACTATTGTTATGTTGACTGAGTTTTTCCAAGGTCTTTTTGCTTATGTAAAAATGGAAGAAAGCAAAAAGTACTGGTTTTATATTTCCCTTCTGTTTTACTAACAGAGGAACAAAAATTCATTTCATTCCAATTGGTTTCAAGTACCACAAATTGTCCCTTTTTGATCGAAAATATGAACTACCTCTGGCAGTTTCCAAACAGATTTCCTCTGTTATTTCCCACCAGACATACTATTTTTCAACCAGCTATAATTAAAATCAACAGGAAGATTGCCACTGATACAAGAGGGAGCTGGGTCAGGCAGAATCACAACAATTTCAACTAGATCTCTTATGAAAAGGATATTCTCCCTTCTGGCAAAATAAACAAACAAAATAAAGCATTTTTCATCTTTTTTAGGTAAAACAGAGGACACTACCTCAACACCGATATGTTAAAAAATGAAAAGTTTTGCTATTATTCCACTTGGAAAAATCGTTCCTAGAAAATCATGAAAAAATTAGGACTCTTCTATGTCCAGCCATTGAAAGATTTCAGATTTACTGCCAAGATCCAAAATATGGCCAAGGAAAGGAGTGTTACTGGGCTTTACTAGTAAATGGTGACATTTTGGAATGAACATTCACCACAAATCCAAGAAAATTCCCTACTTGTAAAAACTAAACAAAATACCCTCATCTTTTCCTTAAACAAACAATTTCATACAGTTATTCAGATGTGATCAGAAATTAAGAAACAAACCTCAGGTTTTTTAAGATATAAGGTTCCAATCGTAAGTATAAATGTATCCAGCCAGAGTCCTATATTTACACAAGGTACCACTGGCTTCAGCAGAGCTCCACACAGGCTCAGGTTCTGCTTGCGTGGACTAATTACCAGATTGAGACCTATGGCAAGACTTGAGAAAAAAAAATATTTTAAAAAGGTCTACATTGTTCAATATACAATAGAAATAATTTTCTAAATGAGTTTGGAGTCCTTTATTACAGGCCTCTAAGAGTTGCTGTTAGGGTTATACATTAAAAATACTAAAGTAATAAGAAAAAAGGATATTTTTTTTTCTGTGTTTACTTGTTTCCTTCTATGGTAGCATTAAGCTATAAATAATTTTAGGATAAAATGCCTAGGTATAAATGAAACTGTTAACTAATCATGTTTGCTGATGTCCCTTTCTCAAATTGCCCAAGTTGACTCCATTAATCCAGCATCTTCTCTTGTTTCTTGCCCTCCTTTTTCTTCTTCTTGGATTCTGTCAAGATAACAATAACAATAAAAAATTAGTGTCTAGCAGGCACTGAAATAAGTTTAATTTAATATTTTTGAAAGTTCCCCTTTTTTTCTTGATGTACATAAAAATTATTTCCTCATTTTGAACGAAGAAAGGGAAAAGAGAAGGAAAAGAAGAAAAAAAGAAGAAAGCACTAGAGAAGGTGGAAAGGGGATTTTGTGTCCCGTTCAGAATCCTTCCTATCTGAGTGGCTAACCCTGCTTGGCATGCAGAGCATTGTCTCAGGAACTTGCTTTGAAAATAAGAAAACAGCAGGCATCTCCTGGAGAAACCAGGTCATGGCTCAGTGGAGAGCTGGAAGAAAGCTTTGCACACACTACCCACATACACACCCTTCCCTTGCTTCCTCTCTGTCTCATTGTTAGTCTTTGGCCGTCTCTGAATATGAGAGCGACTCCAGAGCATGGTGAGAGAGCTCCCTTGTTTCTTCAGCTCCTCCATTGCCAACCCTTCCCCTTTTGTCTGGGACAAACACCAACATGCTCTCAAGAGGCAAGTGAAGCTTGGCCTGGAATCATTCGAACGTGGTCTGTCCACACAGCTGATACTGATAGGATGAGGAAAGGACTAAGGATCACCTGCCTCTGATTAATTTTGGAGAAATAAGGGAACAATGTGAATGTACTAGTGAAAATTTATATATTATATTACCATCTGCAGCAACATTCACTGCACTCTAGGGTAGTGTGGTATTGTACAGGTAAAGGAAATTCACAGAGGGACCTAAAAAATTAATATGAATTAAGGGGATTAGATGCTCTTGTATCACATGTCACCTTGTAATGGGGAAAATAACAGTTCTCACTGGGAGCATGAATAAATCCTTATGGATTCCAGCACAAAAACCAGCATAACAGGTACCACAGAGAGATGGCAACCAACCTTCTGTGAAGCATCTTTCCTGGCACCAAAACAGTAAGCAACCAGATCCAGATTTGCCTTAACGCAGATTTTACTATCATAGAATCATAAAATATCCTGAGTTGGAAGGGACCCACAAGGATCATTGAGTCCCAACTCCTGGCCCTGCAGAGGACCACCCCAAAAATCACACCATGCACCTGAGAGCTTCTTGAACTCTGCCAATCTTGCTGCCGTGAACACTATCTCAGGTTAAATAACAAACATCAGGTTATCTCAGGTTAAATAAATAACACCTTGAATGAGAAAACTGGCATTGGGCCCTTAAGGTGTTATTGTTCCTTCTGACTGTGATTCTTTTCTTTCTGAACCATTTGCATAATATAGACAGTCTAGCAAACATCAGTTCTGGTAAAACCAACTTATTTTTATTAAAGCCAAGGGAACTACACCAATATCTTTAAGATATGGATAGGGCCAGGTACCTTCTACAGAAAGTTATCACATTTCTCTGATGGTTATTTTTCCTGTTTGCTAGTGTTTCAAACCAACATTTTTTTCTTAGCCTTTTTTAACAAGGCAAAAATTGTTTCCAATAATCCTTTAGTCAAAGCAATATAAAACACTTTTTTAGTGTTTAGTCATGTAATCTGCTCTAAAATCTCTTTCCCTTAAAAACTTTTCTTAACATTTAGAGGGATAATAACTTAAAAGAAGAAATTTCTTTTCATTTGAAAATTAACAATTTTTCCTCTCCTGCCTTTGTATGTGTCTCTGTGTGTGTTTACATGTGTGTGACCATCTGCAGACTGGAGCCATTCACAGAATCTGATGCTATTTTATGACCTCTTAGATGAAAAAGCCATTTTTCATTAAGTTAATATCTTATTTGCTTTCAGCTAAAGCTTTTTTACCCCTGCAAATTTCCTGCATCCCCCCAAGCCTCTTTTACCCACATCCTCCACTCCCTCTAATTTTACCTCTGTATCACTGATCCTCCTGTATTCTGCATTGATTGTGCTCGCTTTCATGTTCTCTACCTTCCCACACCACCACTTTCTCAGCAAGCCAATCTGCAAAATCTATTTAGACCCATTACAAGTGTAAGGGCACTATGCAGACTTCAACCAAATTTACTACAAGCAAATGAGACATATAAATACAGGTAGGACCCTACTGAAGAGTACGTGGAGTTCATGGTAGGGATGAAGTGACCACCAGGAGAAGATTTTGGTCTGGAGTCATGTGATCTCATCAGGTCCCCACACCCACTTGACCAGACAACCCAGCTCCTGTGGATCTGTATCTGCTCTTGAGAGCAAAAGCTCAGTTGCTTCCTGTCTACCTTGTGATAATTTGCACGTCATCTAACCTGCCAAACCCATCTACCTACAAAGACAAGTGACTGCGCTTTGTGTCTCGGCAGGGTAAAACTGTCATGTGCCAGACGTAATTCCTCCCTCATTAAAGGTACTCACATCACCACAGAGTTGTCTTTCAGGCAGATAAGCTGGACTGATGCAAAGCATATTTGCTACGTGAAATGACATGCACATACAGAATTGCAACAATATTAAAAAGAAAAATTAAAAAAAGAAAGAAATCTGCTTAAATAGTTCCCAGTCCTTAGGCTCTTTTAAAAATCATAGCACAGACACCAATACTCATGCACTGACCTATGCAAATGCTGATGTTCATATGCTTATGCACAAGTCTGCTCACAGCTACAGTACCTGTTTTGATTATGATCACGCTACAGACTATGGTATGTCCACTGCAAACAAAGTTGCTTTAAGATGCACTTGGCTCATATTTCTTCATTGCTTAGACCTACTGTTTGCAGTTGGGTCATTCAGGCTTTTATTGTCCTCATGCCTGTTTACTCTATGTTACTTTTTTCAACTTTTATGACACACTATCAGGTCAGCTCATGCAGCCACACTGGGAATCATGTCACCCTGATCAACCTGCCAATGTTATCCTTCCTGGAGTAATCAGGCATGACTGGAAGGGTCACCATGTGCTAGCTCTGACACCACACTCCAAAGACTGACCAGCTGAGACCACAATTCCAGTTACCTGAAAGCTCAGCAGTCCTGCAGCACCAGCTGTAGCCATCTGCCAGATAAGTGAGGGGAAGATCCCCTTGATACTCTGTGTCCAACAATTCCATGCAGTCTCCTATTCCATACATGAAAATTATAGACATTCAATTCAGGTTAGCACAGATCAGAGGTAATACCTTTGGTTCAGCGATTTCCTACCTGGCATCTTAATGTGCTGCCAGCCTGCCATCAGAAATTATAGTAACCCATCAAGCGGTGCCCACTGAGCCAACCTTTATGATGGGAAAGCCACTAAGCACATCTCCACATCTTACTGGCCCTGCAAATCAGCTTGATCACAGCAACACTCACCACTGAGCCAGAAGGAAGTAGGAAAAGCTGTACAGTGGCAGGAACTGCTTTGAGTAGAACACTGTCATTTGGAGGCACTTTGGGCCAACAGCAGCCTTTTTCACCTCACCTGCCCATTAAGTAAAATATTTCCAAAGACAAAGCTGTGGATCTGTGCACCAGCTGTCCATTGCCTACAGGGAATGTGTTTGCTGCAGACAAGTGCTACTAATTATTTTGAGAGCTGCAAAGGCAGAACCACAAGACCAGATGAAATTCAGGTTCATGCCAGCCCACATAGAATTTTAATCTGAACCTACTCACTACCCTATTTAAGTTAGGTGGCCCAGTTGAGCCAGACAGCAGTTGGAGTTGCCATTATGAGCTACTATAGTAGAGTTCAGGATCCAGAGAGGAAGGAGCAAAGTTAAAGTCGGGATGATAATCCTGTGTTTCAGAAGAGCAGACTTTGGTCAGTTCAGGGACCTGCTCAGCCAGGCTAAGTGCCTAACTGTGAAAGAAGTATCCTACAAGCCACATCTGATTCATGGTCCACCAACTGGAACACCTCAGGATCAAATCTTATGAAAGGTATCCAAACATACTTGATGCTTATACTCACATTAATCTAAATACATTAGATGCCTTATCAAAGGTATTTCTCCTACAGACACCAATACCAGGTTCAGCACTGATGTGTCTCTCAGCAGTTGAGATGAGCAGGCTTTGCAGTGGAGGGAATAGATCACAGTGGCTCTTTGCCTGCTGTTCCAAGAGCACCAAGAGCCCCAGACAAATTGTCCTTCCACCTCTGGCATGGCTCAGGACAAAGCCACACTGAGAAAAGTAGAAGAAATTATGTCTTCTCTCTAGCTACTTTCGCATCAAGGAAATACTTGTTTCCCCTCTTTGCAGCAAAACATAAGTACTGGAAGAGTGAGCTACATATGTTTCTGAATATTAACGAGGATGACAAAACAGTCCTCAATTTTTGTGTGTTTTACTGCATACACTTTCCTTCTTCCCTCTTATCCCACAGTGAGGGTCTGCCTATCCATGTTCTTGCTCAGATGGAGGCCGGGATCCTGGACCAGGGCACATGCAAAGAACAAATTTCAAATGCCTGGCAGTTCTTGCAGTGTGCAACAACTAAGCACTGCACAGCCATTCTGCTCCCTTCTGGAACCAACACACTTCCTGCAAGATAAAAAACAAATAGTACTGCAGGAGCAAACTGTGTCAATGCACAGACACTGGATTATCTAATCATTCATCACCTGAATTACCCTACAGATTGTTTTATGCCTTAGAATAAGTCCCAGGATTAAAAGTTTTGTGGTCATGAATTAGCACTGTACCCATTTCTGCGGGCCCATGATGACCAGTAACAAAAGTTCCAGTCAGGAACTTACCGAACAAGCAAATTAATTTTATAAGCAGAACTTTCTCTATTCAATTTGGAATGGCAGCAGTCCTCTTTAAATAGTCATCTTTATTCCAGGGCCTCATTCTTACTATGCAAGCAGCAAACGAAAGTAATTTAGTTGAACAGGAGCCACACGCCATTTGAAGCCAGTCTTAATGTATAAGGCACAAAAGAGAGGTAATTACATTTTAATGGAAGTCAAGCTTTGTATGCCAAGATTTGCAGGCATTTATTTTCATTTGTTGAAAAGAAGGTAACAATTCACTCATGGCACTGCT